AGAAATAAAGACACTCACAAAAGAGAGAAGGTATGGTTATCTGGTCAAGAAAGACAGTGATGAAATGAGACTACATAGATAAGTAGTGGGTCAGTCAGCACACATGTGAAAGCCTACTATGCATCAAACACTACTCTGGGCACTGATACAATTAGGTAATAAGGGGCATAATTCATTGTCTTCTTTTTGGCTGTCATTATTTAATTGCCAGAATATACACACTCATCAGAGAGAGAGAGAGAGTGAGTGAGTGAGTGAGTGAGTGAGAAGAACAGCACTCCTCAATTTGGCATAGTCATGCCACAATTGCTTGTGTTCCAGATTTTAGCCATGCACAAATATACGCCCAGCTGGAATTTTAACCACAGTTGGCCATGTGGGATCCAGCTCCCTTAACTACTAGGCCACGGGGCTGGCCTATAATTAATTCCTTGTCTTTAATAGCTTACACTTCAGGAGTTGTGGAGGGCAACACTAAACAAATAAATAAATGTAATTTGAGGTACTCTAAGCAGTTTGTAGAAAATAAGTGTTTTTTTCCCCAGAGAGTGTGTGCTTTTGCCAAAGAGACAGAGTGAGGGAGAGGGAGAAAGCACCCTCCCAATGGGGTGTGATCATGTGGCAACCGTTCTTCATTTTTCCACCCTATCAGGATTTTAAGCATGCACACAGATATGCCTGCCATGTTTTTCAAGCCACTGAGGGCTGGGATTTAAACCATGTGGTAGATCATGTGGGATCTGGCTCCCTCAACCACCAGGCCATGGAATAAAGCCTAAACAGGCTTTTATAGGGCTAGCAGGTGGCATGGTGGTTGAGGTGCTAGATTTCCGTATGGTCAACCACAGTTTGAGTCCTAGGCCTGTAGACTTACTTTCTCACTTTCTTTCTCTGTTTGTCTTTCTCTGGTGAGCATATATGCCCTATAGCAATTGAAAAATAATAACAATAAACAAAATTAAATAATAATTTTTTAAAATAGGCTTTTATTATAAGTGGCTACTTTAGCTTCTGTGGCGAGTAAATGCCTTTCAGAAGGGATCATAACTGAGTTGAGGCCTTAATGGAAAGGAATCAAAGATCAGAGGAATAAACATTCCAAGCAGGAAAAAAAAAAAAGTATAGATGTCCTGTGATGGCCAGTTTAACAGGAACTTAAAGGTCATGTATCCAGTACATACAAAGTGAAGGCAGGGTAAAAGATGACATCAGATTGTTAGGTATGGGCCAGATCATGTAAAGCTTGAAGGCTATAAAGAGTGATGATTGTATGCTAAGGGTTTTTATAAAGGGAAGAGGCATGATTTGATTTGTCCTATAGAAATATCCAAATATCTGATTCCTAAGGGGAAGATAGACTGTAAGGGGACAAGAGTACAAGCAGAAGATCAGCTAAGAAGCTTCTGTAAATAGCCAGGAGAAAGAGGCCGCTGATTTGGATTTGGCGTTTTGGTAGTTAGTAAATAGTTGGATTTGAGGTATATTTTAGACAAATTGATGGAATAGATGTGGGAATCAAAGATGTCTCGTAGATTTTTGGCCTTTGCAATTATGTAGATAATGGTACATATGCTTTTCTGAGATGGGAGGGCTAGGAAAAAGGGATCGTGATGTGATAAGACTCTATCAAGGGTATGTCTGCCTGTCTGCCTGTCTCTCCCTCATATGGGCCTATTCTCTATGAATAAAAATTAGAAACTTTAAAGAATAGTGAATTCTACTGCAATACTTTTTTTTTAAGTAGAGATTTTTTTAAAGAATCATTTATTGAGACCAGCAGTTGGCATAATGGCTGTGTCGCTGGACTCCCATGTAGTCAACTGTGGTTCAAGTCCCGGACCCAGTGGCTTAAATTCATGCTAGGGACATGTGCGTGTGTGCCCAAGCTCCCAAGAGGAGAATGGAGGAGAAGGGATTGCAGCATGGCCATCCACCCAGGGGGTGATTTCTCACTTTCTGTATCTCTGTTTCTCTCTGTCTTTCTGGTGAACACATGCGCACTATAGCAAAAACCTCACCAAAAAAAAAAAAATTATTTATTATGGGATCAGCAGATGGAGTAATGGTTACGATGCTGGAATCCCACGCAGTCGAGTACTGGACCCAGTGGCTTACTTTAGCTTCTGTGGCGAGTAAATGCCTTTCAGAAGGGATCATAACTGAGTTGAGGCCTTAATGGAAAGGAATCAAAGATCAGAGGAATAAACATTCCAAGCAGGAAAAAAAAAAAAGTATAGATGTCCTGTGATGGCCAGTTTAACAGGAACTTAAAGGTCATGTATCCAGTACATACAAAGTGAAGGCAGGGTAAAAGATGACATCAGATTGTTAGGTATGGGCCAGATCATGTAAAGCTTGAAGGCTATAAAGAGTGATGATTGTATGCTAAGGGTTTTTATAAAGGGAAGAGGCATGATTTGATTTGTCCTATAGAAATATCCAAATATCTGATTCCTAAGGGGAAGATAGACTGTAAGGGGACAAGAGTACAAGCAGAAGATCAGCTAAGAAGCTTCTGTAAATAGCCAGGAGAAAGAGGCCGCTGATTTGGATTTGGCGTTTTGGTAGTTAGTAAATAGTTGGATTTGAGGTATATTTTAGACAAATTGATGGAATAGATGTGGGAATCAAAGATGTCTCGTAGATTTTTGGCCTTTGCAATTATGTAGATAATGGTACATATGCTTTTCTGAGATGGGAAGGATTTGAGGGAAAGGGATTTGCGTGTGTGTTGGGTGGGGGGTAGACTAACAGATCTGTTTTGGTTAAGATTGAGGCCTATTAGATATCCAAGTGGATATGCTGAGGAGGCAGGATCCTAGTGTGCAAGGGATGGAAATCAGAATGGAAATAACAATCTGAGTCATCGGAAGCTATTGGAAAAGATGAGATCATCTAGAGAGAGTATAGCTAGATGAGGCCTTTCTTATAAACCAGGTTATGGATTGTCGAGTCTATCCTAAGAGCAATAAGAAAGCTCCAAAGGGTATAATGACATGACCAGATTGTTGTGAGTTGATTAAAAAACAAAACAAAACAAAAACCTCTGGTTGTAATGTGGGAAACCACTTGGAACAAGAGCAGATGAAAGAGGTAAAAGACAGCTAAAAGACCCCTGTGGTTCCAGACAGAAGTTGATAGCAGCCAGGTCTGTGGTGATAAAAGAGGAGATGAAGAGAAGTGGACTGATTTAGAAGGTGCCTGCTCACAATTTGGTGACTTGATGAGGTGAGGGAGAGGGAACAGTTAAGGATGACTTCTAGTTGCACGAACTGACTGAAGTGACACTTGTGAAACAGGAATCTTGGAAAGTGATTTGATCTTTTTTTCTTTTTTTTTTTTTTTAGTCAGAGGGCACATGTGTCCCTTAGGGAGAGAGGGAGAGAGAGAGACAGAGAGACAGAAAAAAGTGACTATTCCACTATTTCACTTCACCTCCACCTCTCCCTCATTTTGAGATTTTTTAAAAAATTATTTTTTAAAATTTGACCAGAGGACAGAGCGAGAGCGAGAGATAGCGAGAGAGAGAGAGGGAAAGTGAGAAAATAAGTTGCAATGTCCAGGACTTGAACAAAGGCTGGCCATGTGGGAGTCCAGCTGCCTTAACCACTGCTACCTGCCAGCCATTTGGGGATTTTTGAACAGGCACGTGGGCATGCTTGGTGTGCTTCTCAACTGATGAGTCTGACTTAACTGAGAGGTCGGCCACGTGTCATACTGCTCCCTTAACCACCCGGAAATGATGCTGGCCCAGGAAAGTGAAATTTTTTTTTTTTTTTGGAGAGAGATTTTCACTGTAGGGCGTGTGCGCTCGCCAGACAGATAGAGAGAGACATAGAGACAGAAAGCGAGAAATCACCCCCCAGGGGGGATGGTCACGCCGTAATCCCTTCTCCTCCATTCTCCTCTCGGGATCTTGGGCACGCACGCACATGCGCCTGGTGTGAGTTTTAAGCCACCGGGTCCGGGACACGAACCGCGGTCGACTACGTGGGAGTCCAGCGACATAGCCATTACGCTAACTGCTGGTTCCCATGGAAAGTGAATTTTTGAGGGAAGATATTGACTCCACATTCGGATATCCTAAAATTGAGGTATTCATGAGGTATCTGAAGAGAAAGTCCAGGTAGACTGTTGGATTTTGTAGTAGGTTTACTACTGGCAGATGTGCAGATGAAGGAACTAGTCTTCCAAAAAGTAAGGCATGTTCACTCTGCAAAGTGTACCTGCTTACATGTTTCCTCCCACTGTCCCAAATGCCAAGATTTGATCAAAGACCTGGGGAGCTTGGTAGAGATCTGAGGACCATGACTCAAATATTTCCTTCCAAGGTGAAATCAAGCATCTGAAAGCCAGAAACTCATGGAGATCATTAAGACATGATGTGACAGATGTTTCCACAGAAAAGAAACCCTGTGTTCGTGACAAGCGCTAAGCTTGGGCCTGGGGGTGTTGACAGATCAGAATGCACACTTCCTTAAGGGGCAGTTTTGTTGAGGGTGGGGCACGGGCCTCAGGAGGATGGCTCTACGCCCAGGCAGCATTACGTGCTGGGTGTGGTGTGGGAGTAAGAACGGTTGTTGGAGATGGCCAGAAGACAAAGGTTCTTGCCCTCTCTGTGCTGGTCACTCGACTGGGCCGAGGTCCGTAATAACCTGGGAATGGTTCAGATTCCACCCGCTGGAGCTGGAAGCCTCTGTTGCTCCTGCCATCCCTTCCCTCCCTGCTGCCCTCAGCTCGCCCTCATACCCTCCTGCCTGCCTGCAAACCTGCGTGCCAGTCCCGCGGCCTCCAGCTCGAGTCTCTGCGGTGTCACTGCCTGGACCTCGGGGTGCCGAGTGTCCCAGGTGACCTAGGCAGGCGACCGCGGGGGCTGGGGGTGAATACACTGCAGCTGCCGAGTGGTTGTGGTGGGGGGCGTCCCGGGGCCCGAAATTTCCCTCAGAATAGAAGAAACGCAAAGCCAACCTCACGGAGCACCAGGTCTCATGTGACGTTACCTCTGCCCTGGGGCTCCCAGGCTAGGCCCGGCGCGGTCTCACACACTGACTAGGGGCCTTTCGCGCCTCAGAAAACTAGCCACGGCGGAAACAGCCACTAAGAAATGCTCCCTGAAAACGACGGGCGCCGTCTTCGAGCGAAGATCCAGGACTAGCAGGCCCACACACCCACGACCTCAGAGCGCGGCCGCACACAAGGCCTTCTGCGCACGCGCAGCTGCGCTCCCCCCTTCTCGCTCCTCTGCCGGGCGCGCGCTCCGAAGCCTAGCCGCGGTCTGCGCGTGCGCGCCACTGCGCCGCTGGGCCGGAGCCGGCAGCACGCGCTAGGGGCTTCTTCGGAATGACTTGCGGCTCTACCAGCCGGAGCTGGAATGCCCGGGAACTGGCTTCTCCGTTGATGGTTTATTTCGCATCTGCTACGTGCCTTGCACGGTCCGATCATAGGCCAGCGACGGCGGAGCTCCTACTGTGTGCTAGGCATTGTGCATTCTCTCTTTTTAAATTCTAACTGCCTTGCTGTAAAGCAGATATTCACGTCCCAGTTTTAAGGAAGCCTGAACATGGAAGTCACTAGTGGAAGTGCAAGGACTGGACCATCGGCTATGTGATTCTAAAGGCTGGATGCCTTCCCTCCCCCTACCTATTCATCAAAATCTGACCATGTTGTGAATTATTAAATAATTTGGCCCCACATCTGCTAGGTAACGCTGGGTGAGCTTGACTGTGCTCAGTTGGTGATAATGGACCTGCCCCCTTGGGAGCTAGCCGGCTGCCTCAATCTCATCCCTACAGTCAGTCCTCTTACATTCTTCTGCCTCTACTTCGCTGCTCATAAGGCTTCGTCTGCACAGAATTCCTCCCCATCCCTAAATTCACCCTATTAAAAAACTTTCTTCTGCCTGCCCAGATGGTAAAATCCTTGAAAGCTTCGTCTTGTTTATCTTTCATAGTTAGGACAGCAGAGTACCCAGTAGCTTGTAGTATTCGCAAAGGCCGGAGAAAACAAAACAGGAAAAGAAAGAACAGATGGATACGGGAGTGGGAGGGGGAGGGTTTCAGGAGAGGAAACTGAATCTCAGGAGGGCCCCTGACCATCTAAAAAGGGCATTTGCTGTTTCCTGCCTGTGGGAAGTGCTGCTTGGTAATGCCAGGTATGATTTTTTTTTTTTTCCAAGAGTACTTGGAGATCTGATTTTCACGAAAAATCTCCCAATTTAAAAATGTTGGCAGGGGCCCAGCAGGTGGCATGGTAATTAGGGTGCTGAATTCCCACATGGCCAACTTCCCTTTGAATCCAGGGTCTAGCCGTTTGAGAACTTGACTTATGTATATCCCAGAAAGAGAATGAAGGAGAAGGGATTGTAGCATGTGCATACCCCCAGGGGGTGATTCCTCATTTTCCCTCTCACTCTCTCTCTGGTGAGTGCATAGCAAAACTTAAAAAAAAAAAAATACTGGCTGGGCTGGCTATAGCCCAGTGGTTAAGGGAGCCAGTGTGACCATGCCCCACTGAGGAGCACTTTTTCTCTCTTTCTGTCCCTGTCTGGCAAGTACACACACACTCTGGGAAGTAAAACAAAAATGGTAGCAACTCATGGAGAAATGAATATGCTGTGTGGACTGAAACAAACATATTCATGGGCGAGTGCAGCTCTTAAGCCACCCATTTGTGACTGATCTTGCTTGGCACAGAGTAAAAATTGACCAAGTTGGGACCAGCAGTTAGTGTAATAGCTACGTCACTGCACTCCCATGTAGTCGAGCGTGGTTCAAGTCCCGGACCCGGTGGCTTAAACTCACGCCGGGCGCGTGTGAGTGCGTGCCCAAGATCTCAAGAGGAGAATAGCCTTCAGTTTCTATTAGCCTAGAGGTACGATAAATAAACAGACCCAGGAGATTTCAGCCGGAGGACATTATGACAACCCCAAATGACCGAACATCCTGCGTCTTATCATCTACCACTATGGGCCTTAAGTGAAATAAAAGAACACACTGCGAGAGCTTGTTGAGAGGTTCTACAGGGGAGCACAGCCATTCATGTATATGACTAAAGAACAGTGCTCTTGTTCTTGGTGTAGAGGTTAAGGCGGTTGGATCTCACATGGCCGACTGAGCAGTTCGAGTCCTAGACCCAGTTGCTTGAAAAAAACATGTGGGGGCACTTGTCCATTAGTGCCCAGAATTCAGAGAAGAGAATGAAGGAGAAAGGATTAGAGCATGGCCATCCTCCTTGGGGGGTGATTTCTCACTTTTCCTCTCACTTTCTCTATGTCTCTCTTTCCACTGAGCCCACATGCCCTATAGCAAACTAAAGGAGAAAGAAAGAAAGAAAGAAAGAAAGAAAGAAAGAAAGAAAGAAAGAAAGAAAGAAAGAACAGTCCTCCTTTATCCAGGAAGATCATCCTCTTTGGCTGAGCTACATTTTAAAAAAGATACACAAGTAGTGGTGAGAAAGGAAAGGGACAACCACTCAGCCAACCAATCAACCAAATCAATCCTGGTGATCAATAGGGTGACAGATGTCACAATAAGATTGCCCTCACAGGACCAGCAGTTGATGTAATGGCTACATTGCTGGACTCCCATGTAGTCTACCGTGGTTTGAGTCCCGAACCCAGTGGTTTAAACTCACGCCAGGCACATGTGGGTGTGTGCCCAAGATCCCAAAAGGAGAATGGAGAAGAAGGGATTGTGGTGTGGCCATTCCTACCGGGGGGTGATTTCTTGCTTTCTGTCTCTCTGTCTGTCTCTGTCTTTCTGGCAAGCACACAAGTCCTATAGCAAAAACGTCTCAAAAATATTAAAAAAAAAAAAAAAAAAAAGATCGCCCTCATGTCTCATACAAACACTTTGAGCGAGTGAGTGAGATTAACCAAAGTATCTCCTGGCATACACAAGCATATACACAATGCAGTTCAGGCGTGGGAATGTCAACTAGTGAGCCTGACCTTCCTTCTCACACATTCCGTGTGGCCCACTGTCATTTCTGTCCTGTGGGAAAGTGCCAGCTCCATGTTGGGTTACTATCCTTTGTGATGAGGCCAGGACTGCTTTCACTGGGGTTCTGGCTGAGGGATCATGATAGGATGTGGCTAAAAAGAGGAATTCTCACCTGAGACAACCAGAGATTCTCAGCCAAAGGAGGGGCAGAGTCAACAGTTGAGCAGAAATTTCTTTCTTTTTTAATTTTTAAATTTTATCATTATCATTATTATTATTTAATCCACCAGAGAGAAGCAGAGAGAGGGACAGTGAGAGAGCAAGCTGCCAGGTCTAGGACTCAAACTGTGGTCAGCCATGTGGGAGTCCAGCACCTTAACCACCAGACCACCTGCTGGCCCTGAGCAGAAAGTGACAAAATTCAAGGAGTTAGAACAAGTGACATTATGAGAGAAGGGGGAGCTGAGGTGAGTTTAAGAGAGTGGATTCTGGAGTTTGGAGCCAGTGAGATAAAGAGATAACAAATATTTATTCAATCAACAACAACAAAAAATATTGAGTATTACATACTAAGCACTGTTCTCAGCCTTTGAGGATACTTTGTCTTGTTCAATTACCATCATAGAAATGACAATGAGGTCAAACTAGATGAGATTGTTTGGGGGTGTATTCCATCCTATAACATTGCCTGGAGCTAGACTTGGAACTTGCTCTTGCGAGTTACCTAGAGAAGGCACGTGGGCTGGCTGACTTTGCTTAAGAGCTAGAGGTGGGACAGGCACTGGCCGCCACTGATGAAACAGTAAGAGGGTCACCACTTCTAGGACTGGATATTGCCTTGTTCCTTGAGGTTCTTTTTTCTATAAACTGGTATTAAAATCTTTAAATGTCAGGCTAGCAGGCAACATTGTGGTTAAGGCACTGGATCCCACATGACTGTGTGGTTTGAGTGCCAGACCCAGTGGCTTGAAATATATGCTAGACACGTGTGTGTGCATGCCCAAAAATCTCAAAAGGAGGATGAAGGAGAAGGGACTGCAGCATTGCCCATCACCCATGGAGAGGGGGAGGTGCTTTCTCACTTTCCCTCTCACTCTCTGTCTAGGAGTGCATGAGCCCTATGATAAAGATAAAAAAAAAAAATTGAATTTCTATACAGTAAAATACACTGTTTTAATGTATAATTCTGTGATTTTTAACACATGCCAAGTTTTTTCAAACACATCCTATTCAAGGATAGATAAAGATAGAGAACAGTTCTGTCAGTCCAAAAAATTCCCTCAAGCTGCCCCCCTTTTCAAATTTCCTAGAGGATGCATGCATTCGCTGGAGACCAAGAGAGAGGAGAAGGTGAGAAAGCCTCTTCCCCATGGGGGGATGGTCATGCCACAATTCCTTCTCCTTCATTCTCTTATCAGAGCACACACATACACACCCCTAGCATGTTTTTCAAGCTGCTGGGTCCGGAACTCGACCATGCAGTTGGCCATGTGAGATCCAGCAGCTTTAACCACCATGCCACCACTGGCCTAAGCTGCCCCTTTTAAGTCAAACTCCCTTCCCATCCCAACCCCTGGCAACTTGTTCTCTGTTCCTAAAAGTTTACCTTTTCCCAAAAAAAATCCATAAATGGAGTCATGCAGTATGTAACTTCTTGGAAGTATGTTCTTTCTCTTAGCATAAGTCTTTAGATTCATACACATTGTGTTGTGTGTTCATAGTTCATTCCTTTTACTTATGCGTAGTTTTCTGTCATATGCACATACCACCATTTGTTTACCATCTGGTGGGCGCTCGTGTTGTTTCCAATTTTTGGCAATTTTGAATAGAGTTTCTATAAACATTCACTTATTTTTCTAGAGTAAATACCTAGAACTGGGATTTCTGGATTATACGGTAAGTATTCTAGTCTGTTTTGTTGCTACTAACAGAATTACCTGAGTCTAGATAATTTGTCAAACTAGAGATTTGTTCATCTCATGGTTTGGAGGTCTCAGGTCCAGAGGCTGAATCTGGTGAGGGTTCTCTTAACATGGTGGAGGCCAGGAACTTGAACAGAGTGGGAAAAGTGTGTTATGTGTCCATGTATCTGTCAGTCTCATTCCTTCCTTAAAACCCACCAGGACTCAATCATAGGGCCTACCCTGATG